TGGGATGAGGTGTGGGGTTGGATGGGGTCAGGGATTGGGATTGGGATTGGGATGAGAAGTGGGCTCACATGGGGTCAGGGATTGGGATGGGGATGGGATGAGGAGTGGAGCCAGACGGGGTCAGGGATTGGAGCAGCGACGGGACGGGGGTGAAGCCGCCGGGGTGACCGTTGGGGTGACCCCCCGCCCCCCGCCCCCGCCGCCCGCCGTGGGGGGGGGCCGGTCTCCGCGCTGCCCCCCGCGGCGCCCCCCATGGCCCCCCCTCCCCCGCCCCCCCTCCCCTGGGCTCTCGCCCTCCTGGCCTCGCTGTGGGGCGGCGCGGCTCCGTGCCCGTCCGTCTGCCGCTGCGCCGGGGGCCGCGTTTACTGCAACGACCGCGGGCTGACGGCCGTCCCCGAGGGGGTCCCGCCGGGGGCCACCACCCTCTTCCTGCAAAACAACCGCATCGGAGACGCCGGCATCCCGCCCCGCCTGGGCCGCCTGCAGGCTCTGCGGGTTCTCTACCTCTACGCCAACGCCCTGGAGCAGCTCCCGCGCCACCTCCCGCCCGCTTTGCGGGAGCTGCACCTGCAGGACAACAACGTGCGCGGTTTGTGCCGCCGTTCCTTGGCTCGGGCGCCGCTGTTGGAGCGGCTGCACCTGGACGACAACTCGGTGTCGGCCGCCGGCATCGAGGAAGACGCGTTCGCCGAGAGCGGGCGGCTGCGGCTGCTCTTCTTATCCCGCAACCATCTGAGCAGCGTCCCGCCCGGCCTCCCCCCGGCGCTGGAGGAGCTGCGCCTGGACGACAACCGCATCCACACCATCCCGCTGCGGGCCTTCGAGGGGCTGCCGGCGCTGCGCCGCCTGGTGCTGGACGGGAACCTGCTGGCCAACCAGCGGATGGCGGACGACACGTTCAGCCGGCTGTACAACCTCAGCGAGCTGTCGTTGGGTCGCAACGCTTTGGCCGCTCCGCCGGCCAACCTCCCCCGGGCGCAGCTCCGCCGCTTGTCGCTGGCGGCCAACGCCATCAGCCACGTCCCGGCCGGTTCGCTGTCGAGGATGCGGGCGTTGGAACGCTTGGATCTGTCGGACAACAACCTGACCACGCTGCCCCGAGGGCTGTTCGACGACCTGAGCCGCCTCAGCCACCTGGGGCTGCGCAACAACCCGTGGTTCTGCGGCTGTAACCTGGCGTGGCTGCGGGATTGGGTGCGGAGACGCGCGGCCGGAGGGCTGGAGGTGCGGGGGCTGCTGTGCCAGGCGCCCGCCCGGCTGCGGGGGCTGCCGGTGGGGGAGCTGCGGGGGGAGATGGACGCCTGCGGGACCCCGGCGCCGGCCAACAGCGCGACGGGTGTTGCCGTCGCGTCCGGCGCACGGGGGGCTGGGGGTCAGCCGGGGG